CCGGAGATGGACGAGTCATGAGACGCCATGTTGACCAAATCAGAAAACGTCATACAACAGTGAGCACTGACGCGCCCATTCCCGAGGTGACTGTGGAGCCTACCCGTCTTCAGGTTCCAGATCCAGTTTTGGAGGCCCTGCCTGCAGACTGTGCCATCACTACTTCCATCCGAGAGGAAATGACTGCTCCTGATACAGCCCAAGCACACCCTTCAGCCGTTGAACAGCCAGATGCAGGAGGAGGCAGTCTCCTGCTTAACTGAAAGACTTTGTGAAATAGTAGTGGGTTCTCTCAAGCAAGGGCAAGAATGCGCTCTGCGACTCACTGGAAGGATGGTAGTCTACCCACCTTCCTAGTTTTTTCTAATTCTGTTCAACTATATATATATATGTATATATATAAAAAAAGAGAAATTGGGGGGGAATGTGAGAGTTTGCCAGAATGTTTGTGTTAGCAGCGAGATCAGACAGTCCAGGAATGTTTGATGTTGATGTAGTTTTGTTTTCTGTGTTAACCGGTTGGAGTACAATGCCACCCATACAGTTTGATTGGGATTAGTTGGGGGAATACAGGATGTTTAAGTAATGGTGTAGTTTTTCTCTTAAGGGGGGAGGGATATGGTATCCTGATATTTCGGTTGTGATATTTATCTGCATTACCACTCCACACCACAAGAGGGTTAGTTGACCATCACGGTCATTAGGCATGTCAGTTGTTGGATACTGTTCAGAAGAAGAATAACCCGCTGTGTAAATGTCCTGTCACGGTGCACTAAATAAATGATAACTATGATTATCAAGAGTGGTTTAGTATTTTAAATACTGAAGTTACCACACGTTGTTTTGACACCGCCCCCGGTTTTTGAGAGCACCCCAATGTCAACAAGACTTTACAACAAAGTGAATGATTCCCTTTTTAGAGTGCTTTTTAGAGTTTTGCACAAATACATTTTCACAGCTAAGTAAACAATGCAGGCCATTATCTAGATGTATTGTTTATTCCCCCTCCCCCTCCTCTCGCCCTCACCCCCCGCACCCATACCGCTCAGTAACTGGGATAAGCAAGAGAGCTGCAAAGACAAAGAAGCAGGGAAGAGAGAGAGAGAGAGAGAGGCAACCTCCTTCTCCAAAAAGACATCAACTCGTGAACAGCACCTGCAGATTTTTCCATTCCGTCAGCGTTTTCCTTTACGTGCCGAACGGATAGCTAAAGGTACCACTTAATGTGATGGGAGACAGGATCTAATGGATTGATACACAGGTTTTGACATGCTATTTGAGCATGGAGCTTGCTGTAATTGGTGATGTCATTGTGCATTAAACTAACGATATATAGAGTAGTGCCCTGAGACGAATGTCTTTAGCAAATCTGTCAGATATCACACCAAAATGCCTCTGACAGCTATCTCAGGGAGCGGCTGCACTCTGCAACACAGCAGTATGAGAAGACGCACTCATGAGTAAAAGCAGTTTTCGGAATTCAGAGCACCATAAACTCACATCTCTGTCTCTTTCTCTCAGCATCTCTGCCTCCATCTCCTTCCCTCTCACTCACTAATGCGTCTTTGCGCGTCATTGGTGGCTTCAATCTTTTGTGCCAATTACATAAATTACATTACAGTCGATGTCTTTGATGCTGTAGAAATTGAAGGTGATGTTTTCTCCCAGTGCAAATAGAAACAGGCCAAAGACCTTATTGGCTTTTCATGGATCCGTGTGACTCCTCCTGTACGTTAGATACCGGGGTCAGGGGTCCAAGGTCACGCTAACTTGGCTCTACCCGTGTCGTCTTTGTGGCTGTCAGGAGACATCATGTCACCTTTGCTACGGAGGCTGCGTGACTGGACAACACGTCTCACTTTGTCTGCCATCTCGCCATGCGGCGGTTTTGTGAGGCTTGAGGTTTATTTGTAGCCAACTACACGGTTGTTTATCAAAATACGACGTTGAACCTGAGACAAACATCTGATTTGTTCATCCTTTTTTAATAGCAGTTTGCCCGTTCCATCCTTTTTAACCTGTTGCTATGAGAGTCTGATTAACGTGTAAGTATGAAAACACACAACAGAACGGACGTCGATAAAATCGCTCTGAAAAAACAACCGCGTATTTTTCTGCATGTGACACGGCCGTCCGAATAAGTTCTCACAACAGCACAATCACACCGAGACGTGAGCTCTGACGGCATCCGCCGCTATTTTGGCTGCCATTTTGTGTTCCTAAATGCACGGCCCTCCGTTCGCCGCTGCTGTCAGCCACTCCTGTGTGATCGGTCTGATGGGCCTGATGCTCATCACTCTGTCAGCCTGGACTCGCCTTTCATTAGTCTGGGCCCCTTCATCCGTCACACTCGCACAAATCACATTGACATCCAAACTCCTCAGATCCACAGAGCAATTTAGCTGATATTCATTAGAGGGATGACAAGGGCTGATGGGAGATCTGTGGAGTGGAGGAGTGTGTGTGTGTGAGGGGGGGGGGGGGGACTCATTCTCCTCCCATCCTATACCTATCCTGTCCGCCTCCTTTCTTCCCTCCTCCACTGCTGACTTTGTTTTTAGGAGCATTCAGGCGCATTGGTGTCTATACCTACCCGGCGCTCAATGATAGTCAAGGCAAGGCAATTTTATTTGTATAGCGCTTTTCATACACAAGGCAGACTCAAAGTGCTTCACATCATAACATTTCATACAATAAAATTATAAATTAAAATCTTATTTAAATTGTTTAATTAAAAGCAGAGGTTAAAAGTGCAATGTAGGTCAAATTTAGCACAAGGCGAAGCTGAACATAAAAGCTTTCAGTCTTGTTTTAAACGTGGTCAGAGTTGGGGCAAGTCTTAAATCTTCAGGAAGTTTAGTCCAGCTGTTTGTTGCGTAGTAACTAAATGATGCTTTCCCATGATTTGTATTTACTCTGGGAATCACTAACAGATTGGTGTCAGAAGATCTTAGTGATCTTGAAGGCTTATGTAGTGGAAGCATATCAGTGATATACTTTGGCCCTAAACCATGTAGTGATTTATATGTGAGCAGTAGGATTTTTAAATTAATTCTCTGACATACTGGGAGCCAATGTAAGGATTTAAGAATTGGTGTAATGTGCTCACATTTTTTGGTCTTTGTTAGAACTCTAGCAGCAGCGTTCTGAACAAGCTGGAGCTGCCTGACAGTTTTTTTTGGGAGACCTGCAAGGAGACCATTACAATAGTCTAGGCAAAAGAACAACGGATAACACATCCAATCTAATCTCCTCTTTATTGTCACATAAAAATACAACTGAGAGGAGTTTGTGTCTTTCATATTAAATAATTGGCAACAGCAGATCTCCTTTCGCGGGCAACTATAATGCTCATTCAAGCAGAAGTCCAATCATTTAGCCCTCTCCCTCCAGCCCCTCATTAACCCCCAAAGTGTCAACTATCTCATTAGCTCCCCCAACCATCCTCACCCCGAGTCCACCGCCAAGCCTGAAGCATCGAAACATACAGCGTTGAGAAAAAAGTAGGACCATGTCTGAGAGACGATTTTAGATCTTGAAGAATTCAGCAAGCTTTGAGAACTCACAAAATATTCAATAAGGCAGCTCAGGCTTTTTCATTTGCATTATCAATGGCTACCGGTCTGAATCCCATCTTTCAATTATCATACTTTGTGGGCTTCATTCTGCTTGTCAGATGTGAGTCATCGCCGGGTTCTCCCACAACGTTAGGCCAATGTATCCTAAACGTCAGAGGGCCGGGAGCAAGTCTGAGGCGGTAATGAGTGTTTGTGTGAGAAGACGGGGTCAGGACAGAGTGTGTGTGTGTGTGTGTGTGTGTGTGTGTGTGTGTTAATTAATCTGTTCCCGGGTGGGAGGAACTGAAGCGAGATGATGAGATTTAAGAGAGTAAATGGGTGTGTGGCACTCGAGCTGTCCTCCGTTGAGTGAGCGAGCAGGGTTAGCGGCTGGGCAAATGGCCGTCGCCATGATAACCAGATAACTTCCCCGGGCCCCCGAGTCACTCAGTCAGTCAGTCATGACAGAAAAGCCTGGGAAGATCAAACAGAAAGAACACGGTGTCCCCAGACGTCCTCAAACAAGACAAAAAGGTGCAACGGTAGAAAATCTGCTGTTAAAAAAGTTAACGTGTGTGTCCGTGTGGATCATCAGTTTCCGAAAACATTTAAAAAAATGTCTAACTTTCTCATTACATGGCACTGGGCCTGAATTGTGACTACTCTGATAGCATCAACACCTGCCAGTAAGATTGTTAGATCCAAAAAGCCTTCTTTGGGGGAATAGGACCTGTCTGTGCATTCTGCACCACTGTCAGCTCGTCTCGGCACGCGTATATAGGATCCGCTTTATTTTTTCCAAGGGACATTCTTTGGAGTCCAGGTGTGTGCCAGATCCGCTGCCTGTGCCCAGGGCTCCTGATGGCATCCAAGACCCCGTGGTAATCAGCCCACTCTGCCTGCTGTTGCAACCCGCCTGCCTCCTCTTCTTCCAGTGGCTCATTTCGGAAACATCTGGTGGTTTACATGCAGCGCACACCACCTACCAGACGCCTCGCAGGCAGTGGCACCGCTCACACCTCTCGAGCGCGGTTCACAGCAACGCAGGCGAAGCAGAAATCACTGGGAATATCTAGAAAAAATGGTGGCGGCGAAGACAACCGCAGATGTAATGCCGACGGTTCTTTAAGTTCTTCTTAGTGGTTCTACCTTGTGAGGAATCTGTCAGCTGATTTGCAAAAGCTTAGTCGTCACAAGATGGCACAAACATCGGGAGGACAGAGTTTTTTTTCATTAAGATGTATGGCTTTTTTGCAAGCCATGTGAATAATTAGATAACAGCTTGAGAATAACATTTTGGACAATACTGTGATGTGCCGCTATTCATTAACAAACAGATTTGCAATGTGGCTTGTTGAAATATTCTATTTCATAATAGACCTTTATAAAAGGCACCTGGATCTAGAAATGGTTGGGAGTGCTAAATAACAAAGGAAACCAATGTTTAATGCAGCAGTTAATTCAATTTAATCATAGAAGCACAAGGCATTAACATATTTGTATTGGTTTCTTTTTTTTATCAAATAACATTTATAAAACTATTGTGCAAAACAATGTCCTTTTCATCTTCTTCAACGGCTCTGCACCAGTGGATAGTCATAGTCCTCTTAAATTAGGAAATATAACAAGTATGCATAATTTAACAGCACGTTTTAAGCTTATACACTATATATACATTTATACACAGACCTGGATTTTAAGTGCCCCTCACTCAATGATAAAGAACAAGGCAGCTTTTACAATCAGCAAGAAAATCAACAGGCTGTACAGAGAATAATAAACAAAAACAAAACAAGCAATGAACCGTTGCTGTTTGGCAGATTTTGTTTTATAAAAGGAGCGTTTCCAGGCATTTGGCTGTTTTAAGGAGTTAGAAAAATGACCAGTTTGTTGGGGCATTTTAGAATGTAGACAGGAAAGAACAGGATTGGTACAAATGTTGACAGTAAAACTTGTTGAACATGCAGTCTACCAGAAAATCAGAACCAAACTCACGAAATAAATACAATAAAGTTAATACACTTCAGGTTATTAGCTGACCTAGTCGAGAGATTCACCAAGATCATGAAATGATCGGTCCTTTTAGGCTGAAGGTCTGCAACCTACACTATATTTTGGTGAAATACAGAGAAATCAGAAACGTCTATAGGTCGAATAGATGTAAACACCATGTGCTGACTATTTTAACAGTAGTTAATTCAATCTTTGTGCATTACCACACTTTTTGTTTTTAATTTTTGTTTGTTTTTTTAACAGCAATTCTACATACGTTTTCCAGTAAGTCTACTGCCGAGAGTAATTTAGTGTTTCTCTACTTCGCTCACATACAGCAGATGGTCCTCTGGAGACTTCCCGTGGCTCTTGCTGAGGTGAAGCTTGATGGCGTGCTTAGTGGCAAATTTACGGACGCATAGCTGGCAACGGAACACTGCCCCATTACCGCTGCAGTCGTCTTGTGATTGTGGAGAAAGGAAGGACTCCAGGGGCACCAGTTTCTCAGAGAGAGCGTGGGTGTCCCTGACAGTCTGCTTAGGGGACAGCTTGGCCAGGTCCCTGATTCTGAACCCTAGGTGGGCTTCCAGGTGGCATACATACGCTGCTGGGGTGCGGATCTGTGAGGCACAGTCACTGCAGAAGAATATGGGTTGACCCGAGTCCAGGTTCTTGAGGAACTTGGTTCTGCCGGTTCTCCTCAGCTGGTACTTGACGTTAGCCAGCCAGTGGCTGATGGTGGTCATGGAGAGGCCCGTGAACCGAGACACGTGCATTCTCTCCTGTGGGCTGAGGTCGTTGATGATGTACTTCCCCTCCGACGTCTGCCTCAGGCTTGAGGCAAAGTGGGCCTGCAGGAGGAGGAGGTGCTGCGGGTTCCAGTTAGAGTGGCGGCCTTTGCGTTTGTGGCCGTGCAGGGACGCTTCGTCGTCCTCGTGAGCGGAGCCCGAGATCTCGGCTTTGTCTGCGACCCGGGACCGTAAGGTCGGCTTTGGCACGTGGTGCGACTGGGTCAGGTTCCTCAGCATGTCTGAGATATCCGACAATGCGTTTTCATTCAGAGGGCTGCTGGATGTGTAGGGAGAGACAACCGTCAGCTTTGCAGGAGTGTAAATGGACGTGGGGGAGATGGAGGAAGCCGTGGATGAAGGGGTTAAGGGGGCTGAGCCTACAGAGCCACCTCTATCACTTTTCCCTTTAGTAAGGTCCATGGGCTGATCATCACTGGGCTGGCAAAAGCTATTATCAACTACGCTTTCCGGCTTTTTGGTTTGTGGGGGAGGAGCGGCCACAGCAGCCCTCTCAGCCATGCTCTGGTTGAGCCTGGAGAGCAGGCTCAGGGGATCTTGGTTTGGCAAGGAGGGCTTGGCCGCTTTCCCCAAATGAATGTTCATTACTGACTGAAGAGCACTTAGAGGGTTGACAAAGGGCTGCTCTGGAGGAGTGTGGCCAGTGATAATGGCTGTACTGCATCTCAGCGTAGAGGCAAGTGGAGATCGGACCGCCGTCTCTCTCTTGGGTTCGGTTGCCGGGGACGCCCTGTCGCTGTGGCTTCCCCTGTCGCTATTGGCTAGGGTGACCGACCTCCATTGCCGAGGCGAGTTGGCCTCTCCTTCCTGATGCAATCCCCCAGCCTCACTGCTACAGGGAGAGGGGTGGCTCTCCATCTTTGGAGACAACAGCTTCACCCTTTGCTCTACTTTCGCTACTTTCTCAGTCACTTTTTTAACGAGATCCTCCATCGCCTGGAAGTTGTTGCTGGGGAATGGGGACGACTGACCAAGAGGTAGGGAAACGAGGGGCTGGTTCTTTGCGAGGGAGGACAGCGCTCCGTCCCCTCCGTTGAACAAGAACTTCAGTGGGGAGTTCTTTTCCATGATGCCCTGTTGGAGGTTGAGGGCACTGGGGAACTGGTAGGCCGCGTGGATGCTAGGATAGCCCCCCCAGCTTGGGTTCCCACTCTGTGCCTTGTTGATGGCTGACGTCACAGTGTTTTCCAGTGATTTGAGAATGTCAAAGCCACCTTTAGGGCTCTCCTTCAGATCTTCTTCCGTAAGATAGCTATACTTGGAGATGTCATATTTTTCCTCCTTCTCAGCATCCTCCTCCTTCCCGACTGACGCTGTAACCCGCTTCTCACTTCTCACAGCCTCTTGCTTGGAGCACTCCTCCTCCACCTCCTCCTTTTTTATATCTTTGAGAGGAGGGGAGGTAGCGGGGGGACTTGTCGTGGTTTGAAGAGGCGGAGGACAGAAGGTGGAGGGTGCGAGTGGGACAGATTGGACCCTCTGCTCAGTGGGTGTGGTAACCCTACCAGGGTTGGGGGAGGTGGCCTCAGGGAGTGTTTTGACTCTCTTCCCCACAGAGTTGGTCACCCTCAGGAAGTGTCCTGTCACCATCATGTGGGTTCTCAGCTCTTGAAGTGTATTGTGGGAACTCTCGCACTCCATACACTTGAGGATCTGAAATTTGTTGGATTCAAACTGCCAAGTGTAGCTGGCACCGTTCTGGTGGCCGTAGCGGTTGTTGGGGGTTGTGTAGGGGCCGGAGGGAGGTTTCTGGGAGGGTTCACCCTGGTCTGCTTGTAGGTGCTTAGGTCTCAGGGTTCCTTCTCGAGAGCGCGGTGCTGCCGTGAGGTCCAACCCCACGAGTCCCCTTTTCTTAGAAGACATTATCTTGCCCGCCATAGGGGCCATGGGCTCCTTCAGAGGCACTTTCTGGTAGTGTTTGGTCTTGATCATGTGCACGCTGAGGTCCTGGAGCGATTCAAAGGAGTGTCCACAATACATGCACTTCAAGACTTTCTGGGCGTCCTCCTTTTCCTCCATCTCCATCAGGGATCGCTTACGTGGCTTTGACCAGCGCTTTGAGCCACCGCCCGCCTTGTCGTGGTTGTCGTCGCGGTAGTGGCCTGTGTCGTTCATGTGAACCGTCAGATCCACCAGGGTGTCGTAGGCGGCACTGCAGCCCTTACACCGGAACTTACTAGCCCCGGTGAAGATTGAGCCGAAGAGCTTGGGGTTTTGCCTGTGGAGCTGCACCGTGCTGAAGAGGTTGGGCTCAGATTGTGCAGGATGGCGGCTCTGGGGAGTCTGCTGTTGTAGTGTCTTTGCCACCGCAGACTGGTGCCAGTCGTAGTTGCCGCTGCCGCAGCTACTGCTGCTGCTGCTGGTGCTGTTGCTGCGAGCCGGCTTCTCCGCAGAGGCCGACGTCTGCGCCAGCGGCGACGTGGAATTAAAGTTCAGCGGGGACCACAGGGGCCCGGTGAGGAAGCTGGAGTATATGACCTTCATTTGTTCTAAGGTGTCCATGCCTATGGGAGGGGTTTTAGTGCCACCATTCAGGGGTGCTGGGACCAAGTTGCCCTCAGCTTTTCTTGAGGGACTCTCAAAGTCTGAGAGACTTTGGTCACTGGTCTCACTCACTTGTGACTCAATGTCCATCTCCTGTCCTGAGAGCTCCGCTGCCCCAGCTGATTCCTGATCACACGTCTGCTCCTCGGCAGGCCCTCCGCATTCCTCCACAAACCCATCCTTCACGGGAAGGTCATCCTCCGGGGCCGCGACGGGCAGGTCGTCCGCTTCCGCCTCCTCGTCCTCCACCACAGTGTGCTCTGTCATGTCCTCGGGAGAATAGGCTGCACGGAGACAAAGAGAGGAAGAAAGACATGAGTGAACAAGCAATGCTGGAATAACTGGAGAAAAGGTTTCCCTGCGATGTGTGCCTGAGGACTTCCAGGGATAAATGAGCCATCTGTGTGGGAGCCTTTAAAGCTGAGCTGAGAAATTACAGTCATCCCATTTCACCTCATCAACCGGTGAGGTGTTATTTTCCTCTAGGCGAGCCTGTATTTATATACTACCCCAGCCACACGGAACTTATGCCCCCCCCCCTTTTCGCTCCTATTGGAGGAAAACAAAAAAGAAATATCTTGGCAAAAACATAATGCGCCATTTTATTTATCTCGGGGCGCAACAGCTTGAAATGAAAACTAAATCTGAAATTAATGAAGCTCAATCTCACTGTGGCATTCTCCTCTGGGGTAATAAATGAGTTGGAGCAACCTCCATCTGTCAGTTAATATGTCTGACGCCTCTTCATCTGCCTCTTCTCTGATTGCACACACGTACAGTACACACACACACACACACACACACACACACACAGTCAAAGAGCATATCATGAAGGATTTTAAGAAAAGGATGTCAAACGTTTATTGATGAAATGTTGACATGTCGAAGAGACATCGTGAGTTCATTACACTGCTCAATGCTCTCCTGTTCAAGCTGTATTCCGAAAAGATGATCACAACCGGTCGAAACGGGTGCTGAATGTCATGCAAACACAATACAAATAACACTTCTCCGATTGGAGGAAAAGAATAGAGAGAACATGAGACAAAGGGATGGGAAGGCGCAACCGACCTGTCACTTTGCATGTTGACGACCGCTGCTCGCATGGAGAGAGGTGATAAGGTGCACGTCCTGTAACCAGCCGCCCTGTACGCCGACTCTCCTATCACTCCACCCCCCGTCAGAGCAGTCTCGCCGCGCCCCTCTTGCTCATTTCCTGTCCACCTCACTCACAAAACCACTCATCTTAAGGAAAAACAAATAATCCCCGAAAACAGTGGATGGCCTGTGGACAGGTCCACGGCCGTTTTTACAATATTATAAACGAAGACAAATGCCACGGAAAGAAGCCGTAGGTATGAGCTTTTATAGTTTGGTCCACTATGTGGACACAAACAGGCCCCGACGAACACACACACACACACGGTGGGGGGGACTGAACCCTTCATTCCCCCACCCCCCCACCGCCCCACACACTCACGTCCAGTCTAAACAAAAATGTCATAGCTGAAATAACTCTCATTTCCAGTGCTAACAGCCAATCTCTAGGCAGCCATGCGGCTGGCGCTGGTCTGATTTGGGCCCCGGGGGGAGAGTCAGCAGGCAGCCCCACCGAGGGGGGCCAGCCTAATGGAGACCTGGCAGGTGCAGACCACTCTGCGTCCTCCCGGAGATTTGGTTTGTCACCGGGTATCCATTACCTGCCATTCTCCGCTGATCGGCCCCGACAGCCCTGATCAAAAGATGTCGTCGGGCCCCAGTTTGCTTGGCAGTCAGTGGCATGTCGTTTGTGGCCAAGCCGAGTGTAAATAAAATGACATGATCACTTCCCCGGCCCCTCATGTTCTGGACACAATATGATAATGCGGAACGGAGGGAGGGGCCTCGGAGGACGAAGAAGGGGCACGAGGAGGTAAATTGTTCAGGCAAACTCGCTATCTGACTGCTAACCAGCGCTCGAGCCTCTGCGCACACCCTCCTTCCTTTACTTTCTCTTGTGCTTTTTCCTGTGGAAGGTATTCGTGCCAGACTCTCATTTGAAAAAGGAAATCCAGCCAGGATGAGGCAGTTAATGTGTTGTGCGTCCTCGCTGGCTGTTCACGGATGTCAGCTCGGATCAGGCGAGCCCGGCGCACCGCTTGACCAAGTTGTCAGGTCACTTTTCTCTTATTCCACATATTTCTTGCCATTGCCATTTCATCAAACTATTCCCACTACTCCCAGTTTCCCGTCATGCTATCACATTGGTAAACAGCCACACGGCTCTCTTTAAAACCAAGTTCTAAATGTTTTACATTTCTTACTAATAGAGCCGCGGCCCTTTTCGTTTATTGTTCATTTGTCATTGAGCCTGGGTAGCACACAGCGAGGGAAAGAAGTCCAAAAGGAGCTATAAAGCCTACAGAGCCCAGCCGTGCTCCCAGGCAATTTAAAATGCAAAACAAAAACCATTATGTCTGAGCACTATCTGTTAATTTAATCCCCAATGAATGATAATCCATCACACAGGGCGACAACCACATCCAATTATTCTCCCTGGCTTGACTGACAACAGAGGTGATTTATCAAGCTAATAAAGGGTGATGGGAGTATAGAGGCTCCCTTAGAATAGAAAAAAAAAACAGAAGAGGAATTTTAATACAACAATATTCTTGGATGGCAATGTAAAGTAACATCTTCACATATTGTTTAGGGGCAAATGTATGCGTTTTCCAAATGTGTGTGAATGAACGCGGGAGAGAGTGTGAGCAAGAGATATGTCGTGTGTTCATGCTATGATAAAGTGAGCCGATGCCATGTGGGAGAAAGACAAGAATCATTAGCTTCCATGATTGATTCCTCAGGGCGGGGGAGCGGCGGGGGCAAGGAGGGAAGGAGGCGCACTTTCGCGCAATCAACATCTCAGCCGCGGCTGGCGCTGAAATAGTGATAACAACGTCCACGCAAAACACAAAAGCTGCAGAAAATATGTGTCTCACATGAAGAAACTCATACTCCACCATAAGATCCTCCCTCCCCGTAATTATAAATACAGCTAGTCAGTCAGTTATGACACCAGCTCAAGCCCCCCCCCGCCTTTTCTCATGACAACCTCCTACATGCACGTAGATGCAAGCGATGAGGAAAGACAGTGACATCTTGGTGTGCACGAGGCATTCCGGTGGAGTATCGCTTTCATAAACATAAGGGCCGCAGATTCTGAAAACAAAAACTCAAACTGTGTGTTTCTCAAGTGGAAATCGATATATTACTTTTCATGAGAGTATTTCACAGCTCAATTCGTTCGTTCATTCAAGTTTGCGATTTCCTTTTTTAATCAAGCTACTGCTAAGTCCTGTTCCTCTGCTTCAAACTGTCCTTTGATAAAGACGGCGCATAATCCTGTTCTGCCCCCCACAGCTGGGAAAACAGTCTGGGGAGTAAGATCACACCCAACAGCGGCGGGGTAAACAGGATGAGTCATTAACACTCTACCCGGGCCTGATCCTGATATTCAGATGAATGCTTGCTCAAAAAAAATGGACGACCTTGGAATCAGGAATCACGATATGAAAAAGAGAAAAAGGCGGGTCTGTTTTAAGGGGACTTTTTTTTTAAAGCTAGAAAATAGCATAAAGCGGCTGTGTGTTACAGTAAAAATGACATTGCCTCTGTGACTTTTTCTTTTTAAAAATATAATTTAAAAAGTATCAGTTGGAATTCTCACGTTGCTACTGGAATAATAAAATAATGTGCAGCCTATTTTACCAACGTGATGTACAATATAAATTAAATGTGTACATTTCTGTGCATTAAGATACACGCACAGAAGAAAGGAGAATGCTTCATTAACAACCAATAGGGATTTTTAAGAAAATCATTTTTTTTTTAACGAAAACAGAAACTAAGGCGTTGTTTATATTAGTTCCAAAGCGGGATTACCTCTATTTATTCCCATAATCCATGTACGCATAGAGATCTGTACGTGCACAAAGACACAACTGGAATGAAGGGAGGGGAGAGGAAATGGTCTACATGGGTGGTCCCTTATAGCTGAATGTTACAAAAAAGGTTTTATGGTCGTTCAAAGACAACAACAACAACAACAACGATCACCCAACAGTAACAAAGAAAGCACAGAGTCTATTGTTTATGGTTTCATAAATTCTTCAACAATGCATCTCAATGGCATACAACTATTATAAGAATCCAGTAGAAAAAGGAGGAGGACGTAGTCGCCAGGACCATTGATCACATTTAGTTGAGATGTCTGAAGGAAAGAGTTCGACCGTCTCACAACACGGCGAGTCTTTCTTGACATGTGTACAGTATTTGAACCGGACCTTGACGGCCCCTTAAACCAACACGGCCCCTCAGCAGGACTGACAGGAAACCGCTCCAGAACGTTACAGGACAGGAAGTCACCTCAGTCTCAATAAAAGAAGAAAAAAAAACAAAGCAATTTAAAAACACAAACCACCGACTTCCACTCGCTCTCTCAAGTTTCCCGGCAGCCTAAAACTCTTTAAATAGATTTGAATAATTTAGTCCAAAACAGCCCCGTTCTGTCAAAATAGCAGCAGATCAGTAACATACCTATAATGCCTTTCTATCGCACACATTTGTCAAAGCAGCACACTCAAACTTAGCTCTCTCCCTTCCTTGCCTTTGATCCTCACAGCCCGCCGAAAGTCCCACAAGGAAATACGTAACAGGTGATCTGTGGCCATTTGAAAAAAAAAAAAAAAAGTCACGACCCAATTGGCTTTTTCCAGGTTTGACCAGAGAAAGCCACGTTGTGCCCTTCGTCTTTTTAATGTTTTTAATACTCGGCCCCGCTGCTCCGGTACATTGTGCTTATAAAAAGGCGCTCGTGTTACGAGCAATCGAGGATGTCAGTTTTTTCATTTCATTTGTGTGTGTTCTCTACCCCCCGATGACATTGTGAATACATTGTGTCCGCCGATTGTAGTGCAGGATGTGTGATATGGGAGATGGGAAAAACAGAGAGATGATTCTGGGCCTCGGGCAACGCTCTGGGCTGAACCCTGTCAATGCACATGGTGAGAGGAGGGGAGGCTGGATGGGTTCGGCTGGGCTGATTGTCGCGTTATGAGTGGACATCGAAGCTGCCGGCTGCGCGTACGGACCTTCAAGACCTGAAAACTCATCTTGTTTATCTGACATGAGACGAACCACAAACACATAAAAGGTCCCCGTTTACCGACTCTTAACAGAGAAGAGAACGAGGTGACTCATACTTCCAGACGCAGTCTGTGGAAGCAGTTTGGAAGCAAACTGCTTCCACAGGTGCAGAACCAAGGCCACTAGTAAAGATCGGAAGGCGATGTTCCGCGGTCCGACGCGCGTTTGGTGTTATACAGCCAGGCGGACTTTTCCATCACTCTTTTTCTAGGCCTCACTCAAGCAGATCCTATGCAGGGCTCCATTGAACAGAAAGTGCTGCTGTTTATTTGCACATTCCTCAAACTGTTTAGGCCTCATATAAAAATGTTGTTAAAAAAGGTCACAAGGCTGTGTAAATATATTACTCCAATGCTAGAATTGCTCAGAGAACGCTGGTTTTAATAAAATATACGGCGGTTCTCAACGTTTATGGGTCACGACCTCCAGAATAATCAGTTGGGTGTTTGCGACCTGCGGTTGTTGTCCAACATTGAAAACATGGCAAATTACATTTGAATAAAAATATAAATAATATTTCCGTCAAACAAATTTACCATCGTAGTTAATGAGTCGACAGGTGTTTTGATGTTGCTGTGTCACTGCTTCTCAAAAAGAGGCGAGTAAGAATGTATAATGCTGTATTTTAAATGAGTAAAACTACATTTATGGTTTTGTGGCTGGTTCAGGTCGGGAACTGGGATTGCGTTTGTGGCTTATAGCTGGAAGTTAAACAGAGACTGAGCTTAAGGTTGAATCGGGGAGGGGTGTGTGTGAAGGGAGTAAAGTTAAGGCTTTGGGAGCGGGACGACCAAACCCCTCTCGCAACGCGCAGCTGCTGCCATGATCGCCTAGCAACGAGGAGGTGATGGACGCAGCCTGAAGATGGATGGCCACCATAAATCACAGTGGTGAGTAGGAGGAGGAGGTAGGAGAGAGAGAGAGAGAGAGAGAGAGAGAGAGAGAGAGAGAGAGAGAGAGAGAGAGAGAGAGAGAGAGAGAGAGAGAGAGAGAGAGAGAGAGAGAGAGAGGGGAACAATAATTGGACGATAAACAAAACAACCGTTTTGTTTATCGTTTAACCGTTTCTCCTCTTCGTTTTTTTTTTTTTCTGTAGCAGCGCCGGAGCCGGCCTTGCCTTGACCTCCCACTGTACTCTTTTATTCATGATTGTTGGGGAATTACAGAGGGCAGGGGAGTCTTCTGGGCAAAGCTTAATGGAAACGTCTAGGTAATCATTACAATCATTACAGTCACTTAGATAGGATCAGATGGATCATAACGTACAATCGCAATAACACCCAATGAGGCGTCTACGTGCACTTTAGTGTCTTCAGAGTTTTTTTTCCCATGTTCACACTAACTTTTTAAAGATAATAAAAAGAAAAAAAATACTTTTCAAAACACAACCCTCCAGGCAAAGCAATCTGGGTAGTGTAGTTACGGGATAAACATCCCTAGCCTATCTGATTATGGCCTGCTGCTGCGGCACTGGTGTCTAGTAACACTCAGAGAGAGCGCTCAGCCATCCATCACACAGTGAGTGTCTGTCTAAGGCTTTCCACCCTGCTTCTCCTCGTCCTGGCTCTCCAGTTACAGCCATACACGGCCGGCCTAAATAATATTCTTCGTGATAAATGGCGCCATAAGCCGAGTATCCATCATTAATCTGATTTTTAAAGAAGCATCCATCTTGGAGAGAGCCTGTTAGGGCCACGGGGGAGGAGAGCAGCTCGGGTTCATTTAAAGGCCAGCCTGCTGCATGAGTGATACCTGTCAGCCCTGCTCATCAGGCAGCGAGCACACACACACACATACGGTATTAGACACTGACGCTATATGGCCAAATTTACACACACACGCACGCACTGACGACATATGGCGCACACACACATACTCACACCGTCGCCAATGTGTGTGCTGTGTGCGTATAATATGAGTGAACAACACCGACACACACTTTGTCGGACTTTGTGTGCTCACAAAGCACATTTTTTGCTCATCGTTCAGACATCGGGCGACGTCTCACGGAAGAACATTCTGTCACTCATCAAAACACAACTCGCTGTAACTCAATCCTCCCTGTCATCTCGAAAAAAACGTTTTCTCCTCAAGGGTTTCAGGAAAACTCTTCCCCTGGAAAAAACAACAACTCTCACGCACACACAGACGACACGCAGTGTCTCTCCCCAGCTCTGCGTTGACTGCACTTCATTCCCCCTTCCTCTCCTTCCCTTTGTCCCCCCCCCCCTTCTTTCACTCTCCCTTTTCTGCCCCCTATCTGCCTCCCCTTTCTCTCTGTGTGTCTGGTAAAGCCGGTTTGATAAATGACACACGTCACCGTGTCAGAAGCGAAGGCTGGGTCAGTGATAAATGACTCTGTTGAAAAGGAAATCGGCTCTCTGGCACGGCCGGGCCATTCTCCCCTTCTGGATTGGGTTTCAGGACCCCCGAAGACCGAAGCAGCTCAGCCGCCCCCCCCATCCCATATCCCACCAGACTCTGACGCTCGCTGTACCTCCAGGAGAGCAGGAGACGGAGAGGGAGAGGGCGGCTCGGAGGGATCCAGCCTGTCCCGATTGTCGCCTGTCATGCAAACAGCGGTGGGACTATTTTTACAAAGCCTCCGACTCGGTGCCCAGATGGCTGAAAGCACACTGAAAGCTGAAATGAGAAAGAAAGAGAGTGGGAGGCTAACGGTTTTCTATTTGTGACACCACTACAGCACTTTACACTCCTCTTTCTCTCCTGAAGCCCAACCTTATGGCCTGACATCTGCCAAGTGTGTGTTAAAAAGGAGCGAAGGCCCATTTCACCGCCCCCCCCCCCCCTCCCCCCTCGCTCTCTTCTTCTCTCTCATCGTCCTCCCTTTCCTCCCCCTTCTGCCCTCTTTCTCTCTACACTGTCTCTTTCACTCCTTTTGCTGGCAGGGTGGCACTGTTATCATTACGCAGGCGGGATTTATGGATTCCGGGGCTCATGGCAAAAACAAAAAGGCATCTGTCAATACCTGCGGGAAACAGCCTTCCTCCTCCTCCTCCTCTTCCTCCTCCTCCTTCCATTGGTGCTCACAGCCTCATTAGGTATGCACTTATCAGACACATCACAGGCGTGACTCAACCGCACCGGAATCCAGACACAGGACTTTCATTAGGAACCGGGGGGTGGGGGGTCTGCCAGGCCGAAACATTTGCGGCACTCTGCACCTGCAAAGATCGGCAGCGGAGGCGCGTTGTTGTTAAGAGCTGGCCGACACCGTCAGGACGGACAATTACGTCCCAGCTCGCGCACCCCCCTCCCCGCTTCTGTTAAGGCCGTGCCTTTCACACAACCGAGGTAGCTTACTTCGTTTCAACCGGCGCCTCTAGAATACAACATGCTTTACCGCCGTCAACACTGCACGCGTGTGCGCTACGTGGTGTGTGTTTCTATGTCGGGATTGACGTGGCGTGCAAAGACGGAGGGAAGGGAAGAGGGAAAAATGCACAAACGTGTAGTCGGGCCTAAAGAGAATTATGGCCCGACCCCAGCAGGTGGGCTACAGTTACAATTCCTTTCATCACCATCACAAGCCAAACCGCGCACACACACAGATGCAATCACACAAACCGTACAAATCAGAAAGTTCATGCCCGCTGATGTTAGTGCACACGCACACACGTGGACGTGAGTGTGATCAGCAATAACCCTGATGCTGCAGAAACTAGAGGCTGTTGCTGTGGAGCCTGCTCCAAATCAGACCCCCCCTACCCCCCCCCACTGCCCACCATATCCCCCCATCACCCCGCCGCTCTCTTATACACGCTTATAAACACATGACCAGATTGTGACAAGGCCTGACAGTGCACTGACACATGCAGCACACGCGATGCTGTCGTCACGCAGCCGAAGTCCTGCACAGGTTAAACATTCCAGCGGAACGGCCGAGTCTTTTCCTGCACGTTGTCGAGCCCGATGCCAACTTCCTGTTATGGCCGCCGAGTATTTAATAAAAAACTTTCGCCGGCCTTTTCAGCGGATTCGAACCTCTTGCTTGGAGCGAAGCTAAAATCAGCAGCCGTGAAGGAAGTGGGGCCGAGGAGTCTCTTTCTGGCCTTCGCCTGGGCTGTTTACGCGGGCCAGCCGCCCCTCGGTTGTTAAGAGCACTCAGACCTGACCCAGGTAGGCAGGCCCATTTGTCACCTGCAGTGGAAAATTGAGTTACAGCACAACCAAAGGTGAGCGGCTCTGTGTAATATCAAGTTGATTACATCAAAGTGGTGGCAAACCTCATTGGGCACCCCGAGCTTGGCATCTCCGATCACGCGGCCTGTCCGGACTCCATCAGCCTCACGGCTAATTGGACCGACGCTAATGAAGCAGGCGAAACAAGTTTTGCGGAGGGAGGGAACCCTCTCAAGACAGAGGTCTGAGCTCTGAGAGTGTGTTGCAGAGACAATGAGAGAGCAAGGGAGTGTGTGTCTGTTAATGTGTTTGGAGGTGGGGGCGGCGGCAGGGGGGGGGGGGGTAGATTTTTCATGCAACTCTCAAGGTTGCAGTGGGCTGCCCCCCCCCCCCCCCCCCCC